GCAGAGCGAGGATGAGCTGAGCAGAGGCTCACAGCACCCAGGGTAAGGGAAAGGGGCTTCGGATCTAAACTTCCTGCTGATCTGGCTCCCTCACAGCTGAGGCACCGGGACAGTCATCCTATTAAATTTACCTTGTGCAGATGTCCTATGGAAAACTCCTTTGGCTTAAATGAAGGATCAGAATTGGTGTCTTTTGATTGGCAGTGCCCTCATGCAAATGAGGTATTGAAGAGAGCATCTCCTGATTGGTCCTGTGAGCAGATTCAAATGAAGGACTAAAGAGAGCATCTCCTGATTGGTCCTGTGAGCAGATTCAAATGAAGGACTGAAGAGAGCATCTCCTGATTGGTGGCAACTTTCAGATTGGTCCCGAGTTGCACCTCCCTGATTGCTTCTACACACAGCCATACCAGTGTGCCCTACAGGGAATACCCCCTCTGTTACCCTGTATTAGTGTCGCCCTGTGTTAGTGTCGTGCTGGCCTGCAAACCCACTCCAGATGAGTGAGGGGACACCAAAGCCACTAGTACTTGCCCTTGTTGGAGGGAGTGAAGTCGCTGTCTGAAGGTGTTCCCAAGAAATGGAGCTCTGCCTTCAAAGAGCAGTAGGAAGTCCCCAGCAGGGTCTGCAGATCTGAAGCATAGACGGAACCAGGAGTGAGGTCTGCCCTGCTGCAGTATGCTCCATATCCTGAAAAATGTGTCTTCATTTTGGCTTCATGCTCCAGGCCAGCCAGGTGTCTGCTCCCTGCCTCTGTTAACAGTGGGCGTGGAGCCTGCCTGGAGCCAGGGTCCACCCAGTGGGGCTCCTACCTCGGCCGAGAAGGATCTCAGTGCTTCTCAGTCCACGAATGTGTAGTGAGGCATCTCTGTCCTGTGCATTTGTGGCCCCTTAAGTGTTTCTTTATGGTTTGCATTGCCAATGTATGCTATGTAACTCATGCAGTGTGTAGAGTTTGGTGGATGCTTGCACCTGCCTCACGTCCATGTCACCTCCATGAGGCTTAGAGTGCAGAATCTGTACTCTCATTACAGTAGTTGCTGCTGTGGCCCTGAATTATGTGCGTGAGATACTTCCAGGGCACCGAGCACAGAGGCAGCTCACTCTTACTTGAGCCCTGTGTAACCTGCCTGTGGCGGAGCCTGCCACCGCAGTCTGCTCTTTAGTATCTCTGCCCTTTGGTAGTTTCTGTATTTTTAATCTTACAGCAAAAGCAGCCCTGAACATTCGCATGCATTTTGTTGGTTGTTCGTACTGTTCTCTTGGATTGGAGCTCGGGAGAGGAATTGCTGGGTCACTCCGTAGTCCTGCGCTCAGCTTCAGTATAGGAAGCCAAACCATGTTCCAAATTCCAAACTGAAGCAGCCCCCGCTGTGCCCAGGGGTTCTGAGTTCATCCAGGTGCCACACAAACAGTTTGGATTCTGACCACCTTCACTTTTGACCACTTTCTGTCCAAGTTTCTGGTTTTATAACCATCTTTGTTCCGAACTGCCAACTAAGTGGTGTAGAAGTAATGTCGTGTTAAAGAGTCCAATTGTGCGTTCAGATGAGAGTTGGTTTATACCAGGAATGCAGGCATTATTAGAAGTGTTTACTTATGATTTTAGAAAAGAAACTAAAGTATATGGTAGGCTGACTTGATTCTTGTTTATAAAGGTGCTTCTCCTGCTGTGCACAGACAGATGAATAGATGATAGATAGATAGATAGATAGATAGATAGATAGATAGATAGATAGAATCCGTGTTAGAAATACAGGAAACCCTGTCACTTACCCCTGATTTGTTCCGGGAAATGTGATGATCAGATTGTCTCGGTTGGGAAAGGTTGCTGGTCACAAGGCAACCAAGTCCTTGCTGTGCGTTGAGTACCAAGCCAATGTTCAGCATGGGGACAGAATTTTCACATCAGAATGCACCAGGCACCAAAGGGTATCAAAGCAGCCGAGGGCCAAGAGCTACTGCACTGCATGTGAGGCAGGAGGGCGTGTGGATCCTGAGAGCGCTGGCTGGGTCCTGTTTTAAGCTGTGCACTGCCGCTGCAGCTGGCGTGAAGGGTCTCAGTGGTATCTTACTGCGCGCACTCCTTACTCTGGCAGCTATTGAAGAGTGGCCTGCTTTTCAGTTTCCTTCCTGATTTCTCCATGGAGCAGAGAGAGAGGGGTTTTATGCTACCCTCGGGAGCAGGGGTTCTGGTCATGCTGTGCAGGACTGAGAATCACAGGACCTAAAGTTGCAGGTCTGGGTTCAAGTCCTTGATCCACCTGATGCTAATATAAGACACCATCAAACTGCCTCTTGTCCCTGTCACCATCCTTTCCCTTGCAGAGTGGGAGCATCACTGTGTGTCCCTGGGGGGTTTCAGAGTGATGGTGACAGGGTTGGTGCGAGTGCCAGGGACTGTGACAGCCCCAGTCCTCAGGCTTGCCTGGGCGCCTGCTTACACAGTCAGCGGGGTTATGTGCCACACTAGCTGTCCCAGGCTCTGCTCTTCTCCAAGGAGGAAGAATAGGAGGAAGAACTGGGTCCCACAGCACCGCAAGGACAGGGGACAGAGGAAGGCAGCTGGGGACAGTAGTCCCCAGCATCTTGCTCTGCTCAACCACAGTAGCTGACTTTCCATAATCCTGGCGTTGTTTCCGAAAGTGCTAAGCCCTATCCTCTCTCCGAGGAGTAAGGGATGGGGGCCTCCCTAGAATGCAACCCTGGAGCCCCAGTTTCCTCTCCCAGGCAAAGCTAAGGAAGTCGAGTTGGCCCAGGCCCCTGCTAGTTAAGAACCCAAGTCCGTGAATGAACTCACATAAAGCAAACAAATAGCATATTGATGGGAGAGCTGGCGTGGCATCACCAGCATCCCTAGAGACTTCCCACTAGCTGCTCCCGAGGCCTGAGTGTGGGCAGGGAGCTCATGTGAACCTGGATGCATCCGTGTGCCATTCTCACCCTCTCTCCATCCTTCTGCCCTGTGACCACCCCAACAGGCTGCTTCTCCTGTGACTCAGCCTACAGGTTTTGTGCTGTGCAGCAGGGAGTTACTGCCTGCTCACATAACTCCAGGGAGCCGGCTCTGACCTGTACACCTAACATGTGTCCCATCAAGATACTTGGTCAGATTCTCAGGAGTGCTGTCTTCAGCTCAGCCTTTCCCCACGTGTGTCTGTATGCAAGGAGAGACCCAAACCAAACCAGCTGGCCATTTAGTGTTTTGTCTGATACAACGGGAGCTGTGTTCCACCAGGAGGCTGATCCAGTTAGGCAGTTTCCCCACCCCTCGGGAACATCCAGGAGGAATCTGGGGCAGGACTGACCTGAAGTGGATGGACTCGTGAATGTGTTGATTTTGCCTGGAAGCTGGTAGCAGGGACCTTCTCTTCCTCCCTGCAGGAACTAAGTGTGGGGCTATATCCTGAGCCACAGGGGTCAGCACCAGGAGTACTATGGAGTACTATGACTATCCAGCTATGGCTGCCACTCAGGCCAGGGACACATTCTCCCCTGGTCATCAGTGAGGAGGCAGACTTTCCAGTGAGCATGTTCTGGCAGCAGAAATGAGGAAGTGTCCTCCAGACGCATTGGGAGTCTAATAAAATGTGGAGCAGATCATTTCAGAGGAGCGTACCTTCAACCAAATGTACGAACTCGGGGTCACTGGTTAACAGTCCAGGTGCCCAGTCAGGGTCTGGGTCCTTACCCACCCATGCCCTGTGAGCTATCATCTGTCTCCTGCAGGTCCCAGCTGTGCTGAGCCTACAAAAGGAGATGGAGCATGGTGTGGGGTCTGGATCCCCACTTCCTTTCCTTAAATTCCACTGAAGCGCAGAGCTGGGAGTACAGGGCCCCTGCAGCAGAGTCAGAGGGAACCTGGCCACGGTGAACATCTAGTGATTCTCCTGCCCTTCCCTGCTTCACCGCCTTCACCGTGGGATGTGTAGAGAAGGGTGTTTGACAGGCTCCCCTTCCCATCAGGGAGCTCATATTTTTACGATATACAGCAAATAATCCCCCCAGACAGAATGCTGTACACAAAATGTAGATCATCACTCTACATTTTTAAAGGAAATCCTGCTCATTTAAGTGATGTATTCCAACTCTCAGCACTATGATTATGTGACACGTGTAGAGATCAAAGTGCAGGTGAACAGCGGAGCAGGCTTCTAATTGGTTCAAAGTCTAGGGAAAAAACAACCAAAATACAGTCATTGGGGTGAACAGCACATGGCTCCTGTACGAACCTGTCCCCACAGCAGAAGGCCGGGACACAGAGGCCTGTGCACAAGGCATGGTGGGCACCCTCATGGGCACCCCAGCTCCACATCCTCTCGGCTCCCTTTGCAAGGAGCAACCTCAGGTCCCGGTATCTGTGGGTTCAAGGCCCAGGTCACTGAGGAAAGGTTGTTTCCCCTGTCCTCACATACCATGTGGACTTGGTCAGCAGGACTGTCCTCCCTCCAGGGGTGCCAGCAGGTTATCGCATAACAAGGTTGATTCGTGGAAATTTCCAAGTTTCACATTCTCTGTACTTTGTGCGTGAGAATCCTGCTTCACAGATTACAGCATAATTTTTGAAGTGGTGAAATCTGATCTGTGAAAGGAGATGCAGAGGGCCTGGCTGTGATTTACCTCATATTGTCCCTGTATGCCACAAAGCTATTCTAGTGTCACTGCTGTGGAGGCTGAGGAGACCCAAGAGCTGCTGACAGGAGCCCTAGATGCACGGGCTCACAACCCTTGGGGACAGGGAGTGCAGGCTGAACCAACAGAACCAGGTCTGGCCCAGAGACATTGATGTTAAGCTGCCCACGTGCTGTGTAGCCTTATTATGCTTCCTGTTACTGGAAGCCATCTCTTCGCCTGGGCCAGCTCTCAGGGTTTTCCCCAGACTCTCAGGTAGCTGCTTGCATATCTTAGTCCAAACCAGTGGTGACCCAAGCAGCAGTGAGCCAAGGGGTAAGAGGGACTCCCAGGATCCCCATTTATTCTGGTGATGTCTTTCTTTGCAGCACCCAGGCACTGGACATCGGGATACTGGACATCTTTGGTTTTGAAGAATTTCAGAAGAATGAGTTTGAACAAGTAAGTTGGCTTTCTTTAGAAATCTGTAAACTTGCATTGCTTTTCAACTAAATGAGTTCTTAATTCGGTAGAGGTGATTATGTCAGCATCTTCAAGTGCAGATTTACATGAGTACATTATTCTTGTGTGTTAAAATGATTGCCCTGCTGTGATGATCATGCATCATTTTGTGTGGTCCTCTGAGTAACTGGTATGCTCACACCATAAAGCCTGTTACCTGTTTTAAAAGGTAATGTAAGAGGAAGAGCTGAGTCATGTTCGTGGAAATGCAGTTTAGCTAGGTCAAGGGGACAGAGAATGTATTTAAAATCAGGGCAAAAGTCTTCAGAATCATTGGCCAAACATCAGAATGGAAATACCCTTTTGTTTTACTGGCTGATATTTATAGATTCATCTCCAGGTGACATTCATATATGAGACTCCTGGAAATTCACAGAAATACCCTGGAGAAGCACTAGTTAGTGTTAATTCACTCACAGTGTGGAACATTTAAAAAATACTGCAGTGTGCAGGGATCTTAACAGTACTGCTTGAATGGCTTTATTAAATTAAGTACATGTATAATGAAATGTTAAAGGGAGTAGAAATACAACTTGCCTTATTCAGTAGAGAAGGAAAATAGACCAGTTGAGAAGATTCAGGTGGAGAGAAAAACTCAAATAGCATTTATCATAGCAGGAAGTGTCAAGGACCCCAGCAGTTAGGGAGAATTTTAAATTTATAATTCCTTAGTTTGTATAGTTTATCACTTGTTTAGTTTGATTTTCTTACAGTCTATAGTGAGGTATTTAATGACATGGGACAAAGGTTTAAATAGAATATGTGTGAAACACAATTCTGTAACTTACTCGTAGATATGTAGACGTGTCTCCGGCAGGGTAATTTGTCAAGTCGGGATAATAAAACAGATTTGCAGATTTGTGAGGTTAAACACAATTATAAAACAGAGGTGGTTGTTTACCATCACAGTACACCGTGTGCAGAAGTGTGGGTAACCACCCCTGCTGCTGACATGTAAAAGGCACAGAGTGGCTCCCACAGCTGCTGAGCCAGGTCCTGCTTTCTGTCTGTTGGGTCCTGCTGTCTGTCTGCTGGGTCTTGCTGTCTGTCTGCTGGGACGTGCTGTCTCCGGGTACATGGTGACGGAAACAGGGCCAGGTTCTCTGCACCAATCTCATTTGGAGTGAGACCCAGGAGGTTTATTTTCCTTTCCTGGGCGCATTCTCATGCATGAATAGAAAAGGGGAGACTCGCGGTTGTTTGTTTGTTTATTTCATTAAGTAATACAGTGGTGAGCGTGGGAAGCTCCCGAGGAGGCTCTTCTCAGCTGCTGTTTCCAAGATCGCCCCCAGTCGGTACAGGTGCCTTACATTTTCACCTTGGAAAAGCCAAGTTTTTGTGTCTATCATTAGAGTTGCTGGGTTGTCTGTGGCCTGGGAGGCAGTGCATGGAAGTCACAGATGGAGTGATGCCCCATGAAGTCCTCGCTTGGAGCCCCACCCAGACTCATCTGTCCCTGTCTCGGGTCTGCTCTGACATAGGTGCATACGTGACTTTTCCATTGTTTCTGTCTGACTAACACACAGCCGCCTACCCTCATTATGCAAAGCCATTAGTCTCTATTTCTGCTGAATATTTTAAGAAAGCCTTTCAGAATATAGTCATATCCTGAGGTTTCTGTGCAAGGAAGGATGACACTCTTTACATCTAAGAATGAATCCCTATTAAATGCTAATGTGTCAATACCAAATCTAAGGCCTCCATTATGGAAAAGATTTTTTTTTAATTACCACTTTTTCTTAGTTGCTATGCACAACAGCAACTAAGAGAGATCTAGAAGACATTGTTATTTTCTTAGAGAGGGATACAGATCTTCCCTTGAACTGGACGTAATAATTTTCTTAATCTGAACTTGGTTTGAAGGCCTTTAGTTTAGGTGATGAACTCTGGGTTTCCTTGTTGCTAACACAAGGCAGACCTCTCACTCCTCTGCAGTCTTTCAGCCAAATATTCACCAAATCAAACCTAGAGACACAGCAGTGCTTTTGTGAGCACTCACTTTATTCTGCTTTGGATTTGTTGACTTGTATGTTACAGAAAGCCCTTCTAGGTCCTTGTTGCAGTTTTAGAAGTTTATACTTGTAATCCCATGGAAAAGTTACTGGAATTCTAGCAAGATGATCCCAGTGTACCACTTCCAGTGCAACCCATGATGATAATAAAAACTCTGAGGCATATTTGTAGCTGTGGGGAGGTAAGGGGGTCCTAAATCCAGCTGGCAGGGTAGCTAACCGGAACAAAGGCTTTGATGCAGGGCCACACCCAGGTTTTATTAATTTGTGAAGAGGATGACTGACCGTAGTTGTAGTTGTGATGAGAGGTATGTGAGTGCCCTGAGCTGGGTGAGGTAGGAAGCCTGAGGTCACCTCTGCAGTGTGCACAGAGCTACACAGAAAGAGTCGTCTGCATAACACATCTGAGGTAGCATCTAATGTTCCAGGGTCAGTTGGTGCTTCAGCTCTGATGTGTGATCTTTTATGCCCTGGGAACACATAGTCTCTTAACCTGAGGCTCCATCCCAGGATCCCAGCCCATAGTGTGGGGGTAAGTGTGGCCTACACTTGTTCTTGAGGAGCTGCAGGGCAGGGCAGTGCTGACCTGTCCCCTTGTTTCAAAGGCTACATATAAGTACCTCTGTGAGATTGATTTGCATTACTTAGAAGCCAACTGAGGGGATAAGGAAAAGTCCTAGCCAATTCTGGACACATCAGTATGTGGAAACAGGGCCAGGTTTAGCCAAGATGGAGATCACTGCTCTCCTTTCAAGGAGCGTCCCCCACATAGTCCTGCATCGTGTATCAGCCGTTCTCTGTGCTGCCAACTTCTGCAGGGCTGAAGCTGTGTCTGACACAGCACTTTAAGTTGAGCAGATGTACTTCCAATAAAAAGGAGAATAACCTCCTAAGAAAGGAACCCTAAGCGTGGAATTCCTGGAGCTTCTTGCACTGAAGTTGCTATATGTATATGCTGACAAGTGTTCCTCCCCAGTAGCTAGACAAAGCTTTAGAATTATACCTTTGGGGACACAGTCCTGGCGTGTCTCCTAAGCTCAGCCTTTCCACCTCAGGGTCTTCCAGAGTTTCACAAGCTTCACTGACTGAAAGGAGAACTTACTCCACCTCCTAGGAAACTCTATTTCCATCTCCTCTGATGTCGTCTTCTAGGGTTTGTGCTAGTATAACAAAGCGCCTTAGACTGGTAACTTATAAAGACCAGAAATCAGTGGCTCACAATTCTGGATGCCAGAAGTCCAAGATTCAGGGTGCTGGCAGGCCCAGTGTGTGGTGAGGGCCCCGTTTCGCTGGACAGAAACTTGGCTTTGGGTCCTGGCTTTGGGGAGGGCCGAGGCTGCTCCCTGGGCTTTTGTTTTGCCAGTCCATTAGCAAGGGCAGGGCTGTCCTGGTCTATGAGACACTCCCTCCCCAGGTCCCTGCACTAATACTAATACCCCCTCAAGTTAGGGTCTTAGCACAGGTGATTTATAGCAAGGCCACATTCCAGCCACCGTGGCATCTATTGGACCCTTTCTACTCAAACTCTTGATTATAATGAAAATGATTTTATAATTTTGTAATTGTCAGCAGTAGTTTGATATGTCAGTGGAGAGAAGCACACTGCAGTGCAGCTGTCACCCTGGTTAATTAAACAGTGGTGTCCTGGTTGTTTCACGTTCCCTCTCCCCTGTAGTGGGCAGAGTTGGTGTCTAGCCCAGCAGGAACAGGTCCTGCAGTCCTGAAGAGGGCTCATCAGCAGTCCCTGTGCCAGCTCAGAGGAGGAGGCGAGTTCTGAGGGTCATTGTGACACGGGGGCCCCAGAGGCAGGGCTCAAGGGCCTTGAGGTAGGCAAAGAGCACTGTGAGCCCCAGGAGGTGGGAAGGGTGGGAAAGGGTTTCTACTTCCCGACAGGACTGCACATCTAGAGAATGCCAGCACTGCAGACAGTGATGGGGGAACAGTAGCAAGCTGGGAAATCAGCTCGGGAAATCAACAGTATACATTTTCTAAATCACTGGTTAGAAGGTGTAGTGGAAGGAAGACAATATTTACAATCGTTAAAATGTGCAAATGGTCTAAGGATGGGGGACTTTAAAGGTTTCTGAAAGCCAAGAGTCCTACCAGTGGGAAGTTGTTCTACAGAACCAGACAGGAAGGCTGCATTGATAACTGTCACTGACAGAGTAGCTGATAAGATGCTGCCCTCCCAAGGTGAGCTTCCCACCCAATGGACATCACTGCAAATGAAGAATGAATTTGTAATTAGGCCGAGTCAGTGTTATAGCTGCTAGTCAGTAATGAATCAAGGAAATTAGTGCATGTAATTGGTGGCATCATAGAAAGAAAGACAACATTCAGGATATGGGCCATCATCAAAAATACAGACTATTTAATTTAAAAAATGTATCACGGTAAAAGACACAGGCTCAGACTCCACCACCTCACTCAGACACACTCATCCCATCGTTCTGAAGCAGCTCCAAAGTCCTCTCTCCTGAGGGATTTTTTGTGCCCACCTGCCCTGAATCAACTGGGAGCATTTTCCTTCCAAGGTCATTGTGACTTTGGGAAGAGCCAGGGGTCACACGGTGCTGGATCTGGTGAACACGGCAGATGAGGACACAGCGTCCTGTTTTCCACAGCTGCCTTTCCATTGGCTGATTCTTCTTCCCAGATCTCCCTGTGTGGCTCTCTCTCAAAAGGCTAAGTGACCTCTCCTGCCTGTGTCCATTCTCTCAGCAGATCCCAGAGTAGAGAACCCCCACACCCACCAAGCTGTGGTCTTTCCTCAAAGGTGGTTTCACAAGTTACAGGGTGAGGCCCTCCCCAGGTGGGACAGTCAGGGCCAAGTTCCAGGACCAAGGCTCAGAGCTGCCTCTGCATAGGAGGGTGGGGTCCAACCTGGCCCCAGGCCGGAGAATTGGGAGAGGCATAATGAGGCTGACC